TTGTCTATTTTCCCGCAGCCCGAGTGCAGTTTTTTCGGTCCCCCTTCCCTTTCCCCCTGACTTTGGTCTTTCTTACCAATCATCAACTCAATGATTATCTTTTTAATCACCGCCTTTTTCATGCTTCTTCGTGTTATCGACATCCTAACAACGTGAGAAATGCGAATATCTACCGATTTATCTTGGTGCAGTTATCAGCTGAATGTACTGGACCAATGAGAGGTTGTCGAAACGTATGCCCACCATGTAGGCTTCCAAATCCGTAAAAATGCTTCCTTTACTCTTGCTATTCAAACTTTCCGAGCGGGTCGTTGTTCAGGTTGTTTTTCAAGGTCAAAGAAAGTTATAGAGCAGAAGCATTTCAAGTACATTCTTCGCTTTACGACCCATCAAAAGGAGGCGTAATTCGACTTGCTGCATATAAGACTCGTCAGACAGTTTCAGGATCCGGTTTTACTTACTATGAGTTAAATGAAGAAGAAGGTTAACGACGCGCTGCTCCATCAGGAGCCCTGGAGTAAAGAGGCGTTTTCTACGCCTTTGACAGGTTATTTGACAGAATCCAGGTTATCAGAGGACCTTAAAATAATGTGCACAATTCTTCGTATGGCAATTTTTCCCTTGTGGACAGATCAATCCAACATTTATGGAGACCTTAACTGGTACACGTGTGAACAAAGCAATCATATAGGAGATGGTGGGCAATTACTGTGCGCGCTAATGTTTGAACATGCAGCAGCAGTGAGGAGGAAGGACGTGGCTATTTCGCGGCCCCCGTCAAGCCCTCGGACTTGGCGAATTCGGTCGTAAGCTTCGGTCTGTTTGACTTAAGGTTCTTCGACTAGCGGTCAAGTGGCGTGTGCAGTAGCCTTAAGCCTGTGTAGAGCAGTCGGCCGCGCAAGAAAGGTGCGTATAACCAACAGTTCGCGAAACAAATGGTTGGCTAATTATCATACCAACAATCAGCAACGGCAATGAATCTACGGCAATTAGCTGCTCCGATACGTAATATTAAGCCATTATCGCATCGAGTACGAGCCCCAACGACGAAGGCGAGGGCTGCCAATAGTGGTTGCATGCAACCGTGTGCTGTTAATGCCTCAGCCATTGTGCCTCCATCATTCTCATCATCTGCGACTGTTTCTGAGGTTGGGTTCTGGTGAAAACTCCAAAAGCTCGAATGGATAAACTTGTTTTTTCCCGCGATCTATATTCTTTTTCCTCCGGACCGAGAAACCAAGCCACCGCGGAGGGCCCATAAACAAGTCTTTACAGTGCAAACTGCTTATACATTCCATGAGTGTACCACTTGCGAAAGGTCAATATGCCTGTAGTGGAAGTTCGCTCCCTTCCCGCCAATCGTATCCCTACACTGCATGTGCTTGTGGGTATGGGTGTCGCGGAAACATAATTCACTTTAACCTTACTGTCAAAAACTCGGTGCCTCGGTGGAATTTGAACCCACGACATCAGGAGGAGGCATTAGGACAGCCAATGCTCGAACCATCTGAGCCACGAGGACCTGCCGGACGACGCGAGTTTCATCATATTCGGGTCAAGTTTACCCGCCCAACCAACAACAAGGTCTGGAATCCACCAAATCTGATACAGTAAGCTGACTGCTCAAGCAGGATTTCCTAAGTAATACATCTAAAATCCACCAGATGACTCACGTAATTCAGAGGTAAAACATAAAGCATGACAGACCAGTGGGGTGTGAAGACACTTGCCTCGAAAAAAAACCTGTGTTCCACATGCTTGGGCGGTCCAAAAACATCGATAATGGGAAGCACAAAAGATGCGACGCCCTCCATGATAGCGAAGAGGAGGAGAAGCGAGGACATGTAGGAGGTCCTTTTTGTGACCACAGACAGAAAAAACGACAGATTAGATCTCTTAAAACCTTGGAAATGAGATATGATGCATGTAGATCCGCGAACAAATTCCGAACTGGAAGAAGCAGATTTTCGAGGCCTGCCATGTACAACCATCAATGGGATTAAGAGATACGCATAAATTTTGAAGCTTTGCAGCGCTGAATTTTGTTCCTTTCACCTGAGCGCAAATGCGGAGTTTCGTCGTACTGAAATAAACAATCTGTACCTCCTCTGGACAGCGAGTTGTGTGTAGAGGTACGTTAATGCGGGGCCGTTAACTAACCCAGGGCCCATATATGTTTTGGTAGATTTTCAATAATTCACATCGACCCAATTATGAAAAACTCAGCGCCTTGGTGGGATTCGAACCCAAGACAACAAGGGGAAGGCTTTAATACAACCAACGCTCTAACCACCTGAGCTACGAGGCCCCGCAGGACGACGCGAGTTTAATCCCATTTGGGTCAACTTTACCCGCCTAACCTACTGCAACGTCTGCAATCCAACAAATCTAATACATTAGGTTGACTGCTCAATCAGGATGTCCTGAGTAACTAACCTAGAATCCACCAGGCTTACGTATTTCATAGATGTCCGGCGGTGCACCATAGCTCAGGTGGTTTGAGCGTTGGCTGTGCTAAGGCCTTTCCCTTACTGCGTGGGTTCGAATCCCACCGAGGCGCCGAGTTTTTCACAGTTGGGTCAATATGAATAAGCCAGGGTCCTTGTACCCGGATTTACAAAATTAGCGAAATTAGTTTTTGGTCTGGCGTTGGCAGCTAGTTGCATTAAACTATTGTGATGCTCATTGAATATCATGTCAAGAAAGTGTACCGCTGGGACAGCGATCGTGTCTCATTCTTTACCACTGCTTCCTGGGACCTGTCTCTTTGACAGTAACCTGTATTACCTCTCTGAGAATTACTAGGTATAACTAAATATATTTTGAGTACCCACGACATGCTGTCACATGTCTGTATCACGCCGTGCGATAAAGATGCCTAACCTAGTTTTGTTTACAGTCACATATGAATGGATATGCACATTATCAGCGGAAATATCGCAGAGAGACGGTAGCGGGAATAGTAATATTAGAAAGGCCACTCTGTAGTGGTAAAACTGTACCTATAAACAAGCCGGTTGGGTCGAAACGGTCCACAAGCAACCGAGAAGAGGATTTTATTTGCCACGCACCCGAAATATAATTAGATGACCAGTTGGATCGCTGTCAGGGAACGACATTAGCAAAGGGATGTAGGCCTTTGAACTTCATCAATAAGAGGTCATGGTCAAACCAATTTAAATAGAACTCTTAGAAGAAAGCCTTTTTTATTTACTAAGAATTATACTGATTAGAGGCCCTCATCTATTTCTGCGATAAGGTTTCATTTTAGATAGTCATAAGTGGTTAAAACTTTCCAACAGAATACACCTCACCGACTGATACCTTTAAGAACCGTCGGGGGCCGATGACTTAGAATTCTGTCAAATTCGGACAGCAGCCTGTATGGAGGTCGACTACGGACACTGCATGGTGTTCGTCAATACTGCTAAAGGATGCTTTCCGTTACAACGACCTCCACCGACATCGAATGGGTACTATAATTTTACTCTCTAATACTCCTGTTTATCACTTTATCCTGGTATGAATCTGATAACGCATGCCACTGGTATATTTCTTTCTAGTCAATAGGCGGTCTCCTTGCACATGGCCTCCGATCGATTACAATTCCTGCCCATAGCCTAGATCGTAACCTTATCACCAATATTTTATCGCCTATCAAAAGAAAGCGGCACACAACAAAGCGAACTAGGTCGATGCAAGAAAAGCTGATTGGGCGCTAGATACTCGCATGGACGATTCATTAAAGATAACCTAGCCTTCCGTATGGCTGTTATACTTTTTTGTGTCAAATGGAAGTGAAAAATCAATAGAGTATTGATTTTTTGTTTTCGTTATTATCCTTTACCTTCCATCCACCCCCTTCTTTATGCACCCTTATAGTAGGCCTTACTCAAGTGATTTAAAATAAGGTCATTTCCTCAAAATCCTAGTTTTCAGTGAAAATAAATTATGCTTATGATGTTTAGCTTTAAGTTATACGCCCAATTATGCCTTCCTTCTAAGAACGGTCGTTTGTGTACTGCTGCAAGATCTCGAGGAACGAGGTGTGGGCGGATACTTCATTATAGGGAATTATTGCGAAATCTGCAACATTTCATGAGTTATCACACAGTTACTTTGCTAAACGACAAAGCGGCTGATTTAAATCAGCTGAGAGACCAAACAAATGTGAGTTCGGAGATACTCCTACTGGAGGATACAGTGTGTGCTCGCTGTTCCATGTTTTGTTAAAATTCTAACAATGGATGCATTGGTGAACTCCCCAATGGTCTCTGTTGATCAAAGCATACATTCTTGTTTTTCGTCTTTTTTAAAACTGGGTAGACCATCTGGTGAAATAACAGTTTTGCTATATATAGGCCACTGCATTTTTGTTTCAGACAGCGAGCTCAGTAGAGAACGTTTTTGTAGGTAATGTTCGAATAGGCTCCTGTGATGCTTCACATTTAACGAAAATATTTCTCGTTAATTCAACTGTACATGCTGTTAAATGGGTGCCAGATAAACAGTCATTGTCAGCGCATTCGCAAATACGAAACGCAGGGAGGAAACTCTGGCAAACGCACTATAAACTTTGTCAACTTCCAACTCCTTCTCCCCCATTCCCTGCTTGCGCAATTTCAGACGAAACTATCATGAACTTGACACCATTTTACGAACGACTGGGACATGTGACAAAGCTCGGTAACTGTTACTTGAAAACTCCCACTACATAGACAGAGAATACTTTAAATAACTTCTTCACCGTCATTTAAATTTTTCGTAAGAATGCGGTAGACTGATGAGGGCCACTATCAGAATAGGAGGACTCGCCGGATTTCCAAGGCCAGTCAGTCGTTCGGTCGTTTTCAAAACACAGTTTGCAATCGTTGCGGTCTTCAACTCAGCACGAAACTGAAGATGTACAAGGCCGTCATACAACCGATGTTGTTGTATGGAGCAGAGATCTCGACGATATACACGAAGCAGGCAAGCAGATTCAACCACTTCCAACTTAGATGTCTTCCTCGTATACTGAAGCCGAGGTGGCAAGACCGGATCCCAGACAGGCACATAATGGAGCGAACTGGGATCCTCAGCACTTGCGCCATGCTGAGATAACTACAGTTATGCAGGAGTTGCCACCTCTCACGCATGGAACACGAGAAGCTGCCCAAATGACCAGTCTAAGGAGGTCAATTCCGGTGCTACAAGGATACTCTGAAAACTTCCCTGAAGCGACTGCAGATCAACCCGATAGACTGGGAAGACCTCGCCTGGGACCGACCTACGTGGAGGAGAACAGTGAAGACAGGCGCAGCAGTCTTCGAGGCCAACCGCATCACCGCCGCAAAACCAGACGCCAGAAACGCAAATCTCAACTGACGTCGCCACCTCACAACGCCAATGCCCAACCGACTCCAATGTGCCCATGATGTCAGCGGACATTTCGGGCGCCAATTAAACATTTTGGACACATCCGGACCAACTGCAGCGCCCGAACTGCACTACCGTCCTCTTCCCGTTCACATCTCGCTCTCATCCCACGCCGTAAACTAATGTTGATCACACTCCCGAACAACCACTACCATCGTCCTCCTCCTCCCCCTCCTTCACTGTGTCAATGTCTGCCGATGTGGTGTCCGATTTGCCCATCAACACTACAGCAACAAACACCAATACCACCACCATCAGCACCAGTGATTAGAACCCGGTCAATAACCGTCCTCAATGCGATCGGACCTTCACCGCACACATTGGCCTGGTCGGTCATTTGCAAGCCCATTGCATAAAGACTGGCAAACCAGTGTCTGCAGCACCAACCTACACTCACCGCATCCGCCTCCACTGTCCACATTGCACTCGCACATCTATTCACGGTATGGTTCAATTAGGTCAAATGCGCGTCCATGAAAACCTGCGGTAGACAACAGCCAGCTGTTCTACACCATCACATCCTCCCTCAACAACATCTGACCGCACATCAAAATCACGCACCGCAAGCACCCAACTGCTGCCTCTCACTCAAGTGGGATGTATGCATCTCGACTACTTTTCCATGTGGCTCCACTGTTACATGTATGATCGGAGTCCGAGACGAAGACGGTGCATCGAGAGCCATGACTCGGAAGGTAGACGACTGACGGCCCAACTCAGTCCACCCAGTCTGCCCAGTTGTGTGTGTGTTTGTGTGGAGTGGCGAACTGGTAGGCTGAGAGCCAGACTGTCCCTGCCCCCTTTCAAGCGATCTGTGACACCCATGCATGTGAGGAGACTATGTGTGTTTGCGTGGGTGCTTCACAGGTATTGACTATCAGTGGACGACTGATTGGCTACTGAACCTTGAAGGGTGACGACCCAGGCCAAATGCAGAACCAGTCGTCGCCCTTCTAAGTCAGGTCTGAAAGCGTGTGCTATGTCAGTATCAGCAAACCATGACCATCGCAGCCTCGTATGCCTGACAGTTCCCTGACGCCTGGCTTCCTGCCAGTAGAAGCGCCTGCGCTCCCGCTGGGTTTACAAGTGGTGGGCATGGCTACTCAGTCATCATCCTCGCCCTTCTGACTCCTGTGGGGGTTGTTGATGACGAAAAATCCTGGCCAAGTGTATGTTGTGGACCAGGGAGTTTTGTGGCACGTCTAGGTGTGGGTCCAGCCGTGCCAGCCACCTGCGTCATCCCCAGACTCCGGTCTTCTTGACTCTCTCTAGAAACCGGGTCCAAGAATGGAGTGGGGAAGAGAGAGAGTGCAGTAGATGCCGTTCAAGTCTATTATCACCATAAACTAATTCACGCGCAAGTCACCCTGTCTGCTGCACCGTTCTGTGTAGCACACGGTGGACATCATCGGAATCGACGGTCTAACTGTTGATAGGTTAGACTTGCGGCGGAGGCTTCTATCTACAAATCCAACAATTGCAAGGATCGAATACATCTGCCATCTGCCGTTGAGTTTGTAAGCAGTGCCCAGCTTTGATGTAGACTTGATCGTAATCCCTTTATATGAACCCTCTGCAGATATGATAACCCGCATTTAATACCGATGCGTGCAATCTATGTTCTGAAAGCAAATAATAACAGCGTCTTTTTGCCTCGCTCTAATGATTCGGCTTGTCCAGGAATTCCAAGATAACAGATCGTGCCATTGGCATTGGGATTGGCCATCCTGTGAAGATGATCTTGATCTGCACTTTTTAAGGAAATACTGGGTCTAGAAAATGACATACTTATAAATAACCAATACTAAAATTCGCTTATAGGGCAGTACGTGGGAACAGGAGCCGCCAACAATACCGGTGACTTAGCGCTATATTCCATGAAAAGTAGGGTTAGAGTTAAGGTCGAGTTAAGAATTAACATCAAGCTGGCGGTTGGAGTTAAGACAAAGGTTACGGTTAAGGTTAAAGTGACTGTTGAGATAAGGACACGAGAAGGTTTACCCGTCCTGGAGTTTGGTGCAGAGCCACTTGAATAACCTGGACGTTGCGTTCCTATTCCGCGTCCGCTTTGATGAACTACTTAAGGAATTCCGACTCAGTCAAGCATTGCCTTAGTGTTTCTGGCTGAGTCATTGTCTCAAAGCGAATCCCTCAAACGTTTTCGCAAATGGGTGTCCCATACTTTAAGTCTGCACAGCGTATTTTTTGGGAGCAGCTGGAGAGCGTCATTTTCCGACGACTGACTCTGGGTGGGCGACCGCGACACCCGTGTCAACCCACATGCGTGCCACTAATGCACGGCCAACCCCCTCCCCCGCTCCCTCCCCCTGACACTTTACCGAGGGCGCCCCCCGTCCAGCTGCGAGGAGTCACAAACGCGCGCACGACTAGGCGCCACCGACCGGCGCGTTAGCTGGCTTACGACAGCGTACAAATGAGAAGCCTGCTCACCCGCAGGCTTTTCAGAGTGACAAGCCGATTCCGGGACGTAGACGAAATAGTGAAGGAAGTATTTAGGTTTCCGAGCAGAGCCACGCAAAGAATTAAAACAGGAGGTTTCGTCTGCCATTGAGACAGAGCAAAGTAATTTTTTAATGTGCACATGGCAAAAAAAGAAATCTATCTACTGGCGATTCAAGAAGGTTTTGGGTTTTTCCAGCGGTTTTCCTTGTGTCCTCTCAGGTGTAACAGTCCGCTGGAATTTGCATAACCTCAACCCCCGAATTTGGGCGCGAGCCGACCTATGTGCCACATGCACTGACAGTGCAGCTGTCCTGTTCAATCCGAATAGGAGTACTTGCCGAGTTCACGAACATGGTAATTAGGTCGCTGAGCGCGTCTCTAGTCACCAGTCCCACCCCGAATGCCACGAATCACGTGGATAATAGAGCGAGCCAGCAACAAGACGTGGTGGAAGATGCTGGAGGGCTGGATCTCGGACACCGACTCCATTAACGGGCATCTTTCCCTTGCTATCACGTCGTACGCTCACGCGGCCAAATTGGCGCGACCTACTTCCCAGCCAAGAACGCACGCCGTCAGACAGCGTGAGCTCAGCCAACTTGCGGATTCTACCCCGTCCACCACGCCCCTATTCCATTTGACTACAAAACCTGTACAATTATTGCTGAATTCTCATGGTCTCTGTACATGTTTGAAGGCGCAGATCAATCTACCCACTGTTCCAGTGGTCGTGCGTTCACCCTCTTTTCAGTAGATGAAGCACATTCGATTCGCGCTAGTTTGACCGTTCGAACAGTAATACATCACTGAATTTAGCTCACATCGAAAGAGCAGTGTTTGTTTTTTTTCTGGAGACTTTGATGAGCGAATTGCCTGAATCCTGCAAGGTGTCATTAGACAAGGAGTGAAGAGAGAAAAGGGTCGAAAGCAGAGAGTAGAAAGCCGAAGTAGAGGAGGTGTTCACTGGAGGAGGTTTATTGGAGTTCTGACGTCTCAATTAGTGACTTCGCCCGTCCATATTCTGCTCCTTTCACGCCAAAGACTCACCCGCTGCTAGAGGAGGATCATAAGACCTCCCGGGTATTGAAATGAGACATCGATTTAGTGATTCTGCCTGCTGACAAATTCCGGTCAACCTTTCTTCTCTGGAAGGTAGTCGACAGAAATAAAGTCCACATGTTGTTCAAAAGTCAGGAGTTCTACAAGATCAGCGACGTCGTCAGTCTTATACTACTGCTGGCGATGGTGAACGGAACTCCGGCTCGACTGTAGAGGAATAAAGTCATCGTCATTAAAGAATGGTTTATGGCATGATCCACAGAAACAGCAATTGCGCGATTCTACGGTCTTTCATAAGTACACGTGCCACATGTCCCCATCCAACCCAGTCGTCTCATTACTAGGCCCATTCGAATACGGACGGCAAGACTGATTATTCCAAAAGGTTGAGGTTCATAACCCCGGGCCGACAAACGACAGCAATTCCTCGATGAAATAAAGTCGAACGCAAGTGAACCGAATGAGAGCATGGTGTCATTTGGTGTCACCTCGCTATTCACGTACATACCAAAGGCGTTTGCAGTCAGAACAATCCTGACCTACTGCGTTAGAAGTAAGTTGAGGACGGTGGCCAACCCGTAGCTCAGGCCCTCCTAGGACTCATAGGCCGCTGCTTCAACTCATTTGCCACCTTTGAAGGGATCAGATTTGTTTAAACTAAGGGCATCTCGATGCGTTCACTATTGTCTGGGATCATTGTCGAGGCGGTTCTGCGAAAACTCAGCATGACCTAGTTCAAGGAGTATGAACCCAAATTGTGGGCATGATATGCTGACGACACCGGCATAGGACTGATTACCATAAGAAGGGTTCAATTAGATACTACTCAATCTAGAGTTTATGATGGGAGAGAAAGTGGAGAACAGACTTCCGCTCTTGAATCTTGTCATCTGCCGAAAGTCGGATGGCAAACCCGCGATGTTAGTCTACTGAAAACAATCGACCACTCTGCAAATGCTCAGTTGAAAGAGCAACTACCCGCAAAGTACGGAAGCTATACCGGTGGGTGGAAGCGCACTACAGCACGCTATCAGCCAAACGAGACGGGACGCAAATTTTTCGCGGGCGTTCGTTGGACGGAGTCGAATGCTACAATGGACGTGGGACGGGGGATTTAGTTATTTGAAATCGTGACGGAGCATTTCATGCCTGAAGGGGTCTCTGTACTCGTGGCCAGATGCCTTACGCCACCTGACATTGATGCTGCCCACAGGTCTTCCTCAACACTTCCCTCCCCCGCATGTGACAAGGCCTAAAGACTGTTGTCTACCGACTAAAGTGCAGCCGCGTGATGTGCACCGAGGTTGGGGAAACCGACCGACGAGGTCAATCGCGAATGCAAGGCCGTGAGGAGATTGGACCCAAGCCCGGAGGTAGCAACACACGCCGCGCACCTGGACACATCTTCAACTCTGTTACCGTTGAAATTGTGGGCCGAGGCGATGGTCACACATCGAGACGGGGGCAAGAGGCCCGGATATCCGCTAATTGCTCATCGACCTCTTAGTTAACTTGCCTTCGCCCTATCTGCGTTTGTGAAACTTCATGACAAGGGACAGTCACGCCGCAGAAGAATCAAGAGCGCCAATTTTCTCTGCGGCCAACGGGATCGGAGGCGACAAATTTCGCGGTGAAATGCGGTTGGAGGCAGTTCTGCCGCCGGAATTGGCAGGCTGTGCATCGAGTAAAGTGCGTGTGAGCATGATTTTCCAGTCTCTTAACGTGGTTCGGCGAAATAACTACAGCAAACGCCAGACACCTAACAGAGTGAGCGCCTTTTCCCTTGACATGTGACCTAAGAATTACATGTTCACTATTATTGATAAACTGAAGTAAGCAGATAGCCCGTTTTTCACAGGAGGACAAACAGAAGAAGAAGAGGAAGAAAAGGAGGAGGTGGAGGAGGAGGAGGAGGAGGAGGACGAGGAGGAGGAGTGCGGCAGGGGCAAGGACGGACGAGGGGAGGAGTACACGCATAAATGGCTCACCGAACTAAGAACTGAACAGGACACTGTGGTGGCCAAGACTACGAGATCAACGTCAACCATACAAATGTTAAGTTCGTCCCGACCGGAGAGCTGTGAAAGCCGACTTATTCAGTATACAGGGCACGTCGCCGAGTTCCTTGCTCTAGGGTCAGGACAAGATGACAGTTCGGGAGCGCGTGAGTAGCGGTGCGTTGTTTACGTGGTTCTCAAACGTCCGTACCAGCATGAGCAAGTGGTTAGCTGATTGTTGGACATGTTATTGGCCAGTCCATGGACTGAGTCGACGACTGCGTGATCGGGAGGTAGGAAAGGTCAAGGTCAAGCCAAGAGTGACAAGCTAAGCCAGCCAACGCGCCGGCCGGTGGCGCCTGGTCGTGGGCGCGTTTGTGACTCGTCGCAGCTGGACAGGGGCGCCTTCAGTAAAATGTCGGGGGAAGGGGGGGGGGGGGGAACGGGTTGGCCGGGCGTTAGCGGCACGCATGCAGGTTGACACGGATGTCGCGGTCGCCCAACCAGAGTCAGACGTCGGAAAATGGGGTGCTCGAGCTGTTCCCAAAAATGCGCAGCGCCGACTTAAAGTATTGGACACCCATTTGAGAAAAAGTTTTAGGGATTCGCTTTAAGACAATGACTGAGACAATGTCTGAGTCGAAATTCCTTATGTAGTTCATCAAAGCGGACGCGCGAATAGGAACGCAACGGCCATGTAATACAAGTGGCTTTGCGTCAAACTCCAGGAAGGGTAAACCTTCCCGTGTCCTTATGTCAACACTCACTTTAATCTTAACCGTAACCCTTGTATTAACTCCAAACCCCAGCTTGAACTTAATCCTTAACCCGACCGTAACCGTAACCCTATTTTGCATGGAATATAGCGCTAAGTCACCGGCATTGCGGGCGGCTCCTGTTCCCATGCACTGCACCATAAGCGGCATTTACTACTGGTTATCTATAAGTATGTCACTTTCCAGACCCAATATTTCCTTAAAAATTGGACATCAAGATCATCTTCACAGGATGGCCAATCCCAATGCCAATGGCACGATCTGTTATCTTGGAATTCCTGGGTAAGCCGAATCATTAGAGCGAGGCAAAAGCCGCTGTTATTATTTGCTTTCAGAACATAGATTGCACGCATCGGTATTCAATGTGGGCTATCATATCTGCAGAGGGTTCATATAAAGGGATTACGATCAAGTCTACATCAAAGCTGGGCACTGCTTACAAACTCAGCGGCAGATGGCAGATGTATTCGATCCTTGCAATTGTTGGATTTGTAGATAGAAGCCTCCGCCACAAGTCTAACCTATCAACGGTTAGACCGTCGATTCCGACGATGTCCACCGTGCGCTACACAGAACGGTGCAGCAGACAGGGTGACTTGCGCGTGAATTAGTTTATGGTGATACTAGACCTGACCGGCATCTACAACACTCTCTCTTCCTCACTCCACACTTGGACCCGGTTTCTAGAGAGAGTCAAGAAGACCGGAGTCTGGGGATGACGCAGGTGGCTGGCACGGCTGGACCCACACCTAGACGTGCCACAAAACTCCCTGGCCCACAACATACACTTGGCCAGGATTTTTCGTCATCAACAACCCCCACAGGAGTCAGAAGGGCGAGGATGATGACTGAGCAGCCATGCCCACCACTTGTAAACCCAGCGGGAGCGCAGGCGCTTCTACTGGCAGGAAGCCAGGCGTCAGGGAACTGCCAGTAATACGAGGCCGGGATGGCCATGGTTTGCTGATACTGACATAGCTCACTCTTTCAGACCTTCTGACTTAGAAGGGCGACGACTGGTTCTGCATTTGGCCTGGGTCGTCACCCTTCAAGGTTCAGTAGCCAATCAGTCGTCCACTGATAGTCAATACCTGTGAAGCACCCACGCAAACACACATAGTCTCCTCACATGCATGGGTGTCACAGATCGCTTGAAAGGGGGCCGTGACTGCCTGGCTCTCAGCCCACCAGTCCGCCATTTGAAGAAGGACACACGATCGCTGGGGCAGGAGCTTTATTAGCCCGAGTCACAGCGCTCGACGCACCGTCTTCGTCTCAGACTCCGATCACACATGCAGCCGTAGAGCCACATGGAAAAGAAGTCGAGACGCGTACATCCCACTTGCGTGGGAGACGGCAGTTGGGTGCTTGCGGTGGGTGATATTGATGTGCGGTGAGTTGCTGTTGAGGGAATATGTAATGGTGTAGAGCAGTCGGCAGTTGTCTACCGCAGGTTTTCATGGACACGCGTGCGCCCTAGTTGACACATGCCTTGAATGGATGTGCGAGTGCAATGTGGACAGTGGAGGCGGATACGGTGAGTGTAGGTTGGTGCTTTAGGCACTGGTTTGCTAGTATCTGTGTGATGGATTTGCAAGTGACCGGCCAGGCCGATATGAGAATTTAAGTCCGATCGCATTGAGGACGGAAGTAGACCGTGTCCTCATCACTAGTGTTGATGGTGGTGGTATTGGTATATGTTGGTGTAGTTTTGATGGGCATAGCGGACGCCACAGCGGCAGACCATGAGGCAGTGAAGGATGATGATGATGATGATGATGATGATGATGATGACGACGACGACGACGACGATGATGATGATGATGATGATGATGATGATGATGATGATGATGATGATGATGATGATGATGATGATGATGATGATGATGATGATGATGATAGTGGTGGTTCGGGAGGGTGATCACCATTAGTTGACGGCGTGGGAGGCGAGCGAGAAGCGAACGGAGAGACGACGGTTGGTGCAGTCCGGGGGCTGTAGTTGGTCCTGAGGTGTCCAACAAGTTTAATTGGCGCCCGACATGTCCGTTGACATGGGGGGCACATTGGAGGCGGTTGGGCGTTGGCGGTGTGAGGCGGTGGCGACAGTTGAGATTTGCGTGTCTGGCGTCTGGCTTTGCGGCAGTGATGCGGGTGGCCTCGAAGACTGCTGCGTCTGTCTTCAGTGTTCTCCTCCATGCAGGTCGGTCCCAAGCGACGTCTTCCCAGTTTTCGGGGTTGATCTGCAGGCGCTTTAGGGAGGTTTTCAGAATATCCTTATAACGCCGGACTTGATCTCCGTGTCTGAATGAACCCCTCACTACATCTCCATAGAAGGGTCGTTTGGGTAGCTACTCTTGATCTATCCGTACGAGGTGGCCACTCCAGCATGACTGTAGTTGTCTCAGCATAGCGTGAATGCTGAGGATCCCCGTCCACTGCAGTATGTCCCTGTCTGAGATCCGGTCTTGCCATCTCAGTTGCTGCCACCTCTACTGCATTTAGCTAAATGTGTGGTTTATTACTAGGTTTCAAAACGTAATTGGGTTTTTAATCGCCACCCATGTTCAGTGCGTTACTTTAATAACCACAGTTAACCCAGATGAACGCAGTTCTTCGAAGCCACACCTTTACATTTTCGTGGTTTTTACCCTTTCGTTTTAAGCGGCCTTTAGCCCAACAAAACCGACTAAGGGACTTGCGACAATGCAGCCTACTCATTTTGGTCAACCTTCTGGACGTCGCTTATGTCGGGTATATCCGGCTCTATGGAGGCATTCCTATCGCAAGCTAATGTTGTTGGTAATTAGCAATTTCACCCGTTCAAATCATCAACATTACAACAGAAACTCTGGAGGATGTCTCCACTTGACCCATTGTTTTCCTAATCTCAGGAGACTTCACTCTCTGGTGCTTATGTTTTTCTACAGTAACACGTATCCGTGTCTCAAAAACGAACAGATCTCATAATTATTTCATAATTTGCACGTATCACTCACCGACTGTCTGCAATGTCATAATCCGCGAAGGCCACACTCGGACGCCTGTGTAAATGGACAAAAACAGGTCTAATCAGACTTCCGATGTATGCTTTGCTCAAAAAGGTTCAAACATAAAAGAAATAGGCTGACTAATCACATAAAGGAGGAGTTTTTTCATTACATGACGAATTCGGCCTCCTAGTCTTTCCCAGTTGAGGTACGGTTGCTTAAGGATGGCAACTCAGCAAGAATTATTTCAGAATAATTTCAGAAATTACTCAGTGCAGGACTTTGAGTTAAATCTCCGGGACATGACATTTTAGGGTCAGAAACGAAATTTCAGTATGTATTTTAGAAGCCCTGAATTCAAATGCAGCGTCAGATGGGACGAAAATTATCCGAGAAGGAAAAGAGGGCAACGATATAGAGAAGGACCCCAGTTAACTGTCAGTAGACTGTGGATCGTGCCATACGTGATTTATGGTAAAGGGAGTTTTATGGGTGTGGCAGCACGCTAGACAGTAAGCCGACAAAATGAAAGAAAACACAAACATTGCCGGAATTTATGCCGAAAGACTTATCCTACGATAGTGTACGACAACGAAGTGAGAGTAGTAAAAAACAAAAAATAAGAAGTAAATTTCACAAAATAACGGATTTTGAGTTGAGGTGTGAGGTCGTTGGAAGCAATCGTCATTGGCAATGTAATTTTTGAAAGTGCCTGCAAATGTATGCCATAATAAAACCCAATGTGGCACGATCCACAGTCTGCTGAGAGTTAAGTGGGGTCCCTCTCTATACGTTGCCGGAAAAATTTCTTGAAAACCGAAAATTACTTCCTCTTCGATCACAAAATTTGAAAAACACGTAATTTTCTACGAATTGCGTACAAAAAAGAATATTTTGCGCAAGTTTGCTATACGATATGTAATATATAACACATAACGCAATATATAATGGACATCAAAAGTGCATGGGAGAAGTTCATACTAGTTAAGTAGTAATTTTTGCAGATGATGGTTCCCGCAAATCACCGAAGAGCATCTCACTCAAATGAGGGCATCCTGCGATGACTGAAATACCACAGGACTACGTTGCAGATTAATTATCACCACAACCCTACTTAAGCGATCTTCAGGAATCAAAGTACACCTGAGAATTTCGGTCAATATTTCGTGCGATAGCACATCTGCTGTAATATGACGCTCAACTTGGACAGCGAGCATTTGACTTTGCTTCGATTAGCCCATGAAGGCAGTCGACATCACGTTCTATCCCAATCGGTATTCAGCGCTGAAGAGCGTATTTTTAACTAATGCGTCTGGCAGATTTGAATAAATCGCTTAATCCAGTTATGAAAAACTCGGTGGCCTTGGTGGAATTCAAATCCAAAGCAGCAAAGGCAAGGCTTGAGTACAGCAAACGTTTTGACCACCAAGTGGCTCAGGTTGCCATAGTGTTGGTCGTGCTCAAGCCTTGTTCTTGCTGTTGTGGGTTTGGGTTCCACTGAGACCGACGAGGTTTCTCAGTTGGATCAAATCAGCTTGCCGTTGTAAATTCCACCGAACCGTTTGCCATGTAAGACGCAGCTAGTCTTGAAAGCCCGTCATGTTTATGCGTTGGGAAACCCTTAGATGTAGAGAGTTCACAGGCCGGATCACGGGATTCAACCACCTCATGTTTTTTGGCGACTAAGGAGCATATGTGTCCATAAATTTTCAATGTCCTTCATGTCCTTATCAAAGGACGTGTTCCTGTCAGAAAAGGATCAAACAGACAAATCTTGTGCACAAAAATAATAGATCATCATCTGAAAAATCAAAATCGGTTTCTAAAAGGCGAAAATACTTTCCTTGTGGTTTTAGTAAGAATTGCAGGCAACAATAGGGTGTAGGACCCCTACCCCTCAACTGGCAGATAGCTCTTACGTGAATAAATGACTAGATAGACTGCGAAATGCTCCCTGTTAATTTAGCTTGGTTCTTTACGATATGAACCATGAAATTTAGAACAAATGCATGTGCGACTGCATAAAAACGACCAAAAATCAGGAGTGTTACGTCATCCGAACTACGTTTTGGTTCTGAATGTGGTAAGCGTTAACCGAAAACTATGCACCTGATGGCCTCATAAGTGTGTTTATATTAACTCCCGAAGAATGTAAACTCAAATGCACTACATACTTACTGAAAGTGACGAAACACATTGAACGCAGCGACCGAAATATATGCAATAATTTCCCGGCGTCTAAGCGATGAGAACTTAGCAGCTTCACTCGCTGCGAAAACGCCTTCCGGAGTCATACTTGATGGAGAGATTTTGCAGATTGGGGCGGAAATGGATGGCACTTTGTAGTCCTGCAATTTCCTTCCTATAGTCACTGTCCAAGATCGTATCTATATAGATGCACTTTTCTTCGCAACGGTATTATTATAACCAGGAAGCATTTTCCAAAATAACCGCCCACTACCAGGTTTCTTGCTTGAATAAGTCCACAATTGTGACCCGAACGATCATCTGCATAGATTAGGGCGCTCGTGAACTCGTCATTGGGGTGTGTGCATTCAAAACGGCTTAAATGTGGGGGTCTATAGAGACACAATTTTTGGAACCCATCTTGTTTAGCAGCCGGTTGAGAACGCTTGTAACCGCAAAAAAGTGATATTTAAAGGCTACTCGGAAACCTGCCAAACCATAAAAACGTACACTGATTTTACGATAAAAAAACTGTTTCGATTCACGGTAAATATTACGCTTTGACTATGCCTTCTAATCCTAATATTCTTTCTCAGCCACCGTTTAGCCTCTTATTTTGTGAAACAATGAAAAGTTTTGTTTTTATTTCTATTATCAAAAGGCTATTTTGCATAAATCATGCAATATATGGTTGTGGCGTAGTTGTTTCACATCAAGTCCCGTTAATTATTAGTCGGTTTTTATACCGAAGACATCTAAAAAGGATTTTTGAAACGTTGTTCTGTCTATGCCGTTTTTTCCTCGTTTGTTTGCATACATAGGCTCTGTGTTCTTCTACAATCTATTTTTATCCATGTCATGAGAATATCTGAGCTATTTTGTGTTTCTTTCCTCCGGGAAATTACTTACTTCTAATCAACGTATTACTGCCCCCAATACGTCACCCATACTTGAAATAATTGGTCTCTGAATGCCTGCCAGCTTCCGGCTGAACAAAAACTTTTCAGTAGTTTATATCCGTTACACGACATAATTCACCTACTATAAGCCAATACATCTTCCAGTGTATTCATCTAGCAAGTCCAGTTTATTTTCTATAACGCTAATAAAATTGAAATCGACCCACATGATATTGACTGCAGGGTGTTTACGCGTATAAACTTGACCTGCGGTTAGCTTTTGAGGGGCTCTCAGGTCCCATTACAAGTAACCACGTTCAAGTTCCCCTTGGTGTTTGACCGGAGAAGGAATGGTTTTACCCGTGGCGGGGGTTGTATCATGACGATCGCTGATTAAAAGTTAAGAATAGAGAAGAAAATTTAACCATCAAAGCAACGACAACCATATCGCTCAAAGTAGAATTAGAAGCAGACGAATTGGTTAAATTCTTTGCCAAAGGTGGCCGAAGTCGTGGTCTGTTTTGTGGCTTATATTGCCTTGAATGTAGCTGAGTCTCCTCTGCGAGATCTTAAATCTCACATTGACTAATCACAGATTTGTAAATATGCTATACATAGAATTTAAAAGCAATGGGGTGCTTTTATTCCGTGGAATCTCAAGACGTGCGCGTAACACTATGGCAGGTGTCGCCCGTTAACGAAATGCGCGTAGATATATTACGATGTTTAGTTGGCGATATGCTCGCGGAGAGGAAAAACGCCAAACTTCCTTGCTAAGCATCTTAATGTCAAATAGATGCAGAGAGGAGAAGGCAAAAATCATAAGATTGACACACTGTCCAACGAAA